TTACCTGGCTTTGGTATTAGAGTGATGCTGGCTTCATAGAAGGAATTTGGAAGTTCTCCCTCCATTTCTATCTTTGAATAAATTAAGTAGTTTTGGTTATAGCTCTTCTTTCAATGGTAGAATTCTGCTGTAAATCCATCTGGTTCTGGGCTTTATTCAGTCAGGTGTTTTGTATTACTATTTCAATTTCCTTATGTGTTATGGGTCTGTTTAAGCTGTTGATCTCTTCTTGGTTTAATTTTGGTGATTCCCATGGTTTTAAGTACCTGTCCATTTCATTTAGGTTTCCAAATTTAGTGGCATATAGGTTTTTAAAGTATTCCCTTATAATGTTCTGTATCTTTTTGGTGTCTATTGTGATGTTTCCCCTTTCATCTCTGATTTTGTTGATTTGGGGGTGTTCTTCCTTCTTTTGTTTAAATGGGCTAAGGGTCTATCTTGTTTATCTCTTCAAAGAACTAGATCTTGGATTCATTAATTCTTTGTATTATTTTCTTTGTTTCTATTTCATTAATTTCTGTTCTGATTTTTGTTATTTCTTGTCTGCTGGGTTTCGGTTTCAAATGTTGTTGCTTTTCAAGTGTCTTGAGTTGCAATATTAAGTCATTTATTTGTGTTCTTTCTGGTTTTTTAATGTAGGCACTTAGAGCTGGAAAGTTCCAAGAACTGCTTTCATTGTGTCCCAGAGGTTTTGTTGTGTTGTGTTGTCCTTCTCATTTAGTTCCAGGAATACTTTTATTTCTTTCTTAATTTCGCCTTTGACCCATTCACAATTCAGGAGTGTGTTGTTTAATCTCCATGTGTTCATGTAGTTACTAGGGTTTTTTTCCAGTATTGATTTCAAGCTTTATTACATTGTGTTCTGATAGAATGCATGGAATTATTTCAATCTTCTTGTGTTTGTTGAGGCTTGTTTTGTGCTACAGTATGTGGTCGATTTTGGAGAAAGTTCCATGGGGCTCTGAATAGAAAGTATATTCTTTGGTGCTTAGATGGAATTTTCGGTAGATGTCTGTTAGGCCATTTGATGTATGGTATTGTTTAATTCAGGTGTCTCTCTCAATTTTCAGTCCTGTTGACCTATCTAATGAAGACAATGGGGTAGAAGTCCCCTACTATTAATGAATTGGAATTAATCTGGGTCTTAAAGTTCTGTAGTACTGTTTTTATGAAGTTGGGTGCACCAAAGTTTGGTGAATATATGTTCATAACTGTAATGTCTTCTTGGTCAATTGTTCCTTTGATCAAAATGAAGTGGCCCTCTTTATCTCTTCTGATTAATTTTAGTTTGAAGCCTATTTTGTCAGATATTAGAGTTGCAACTTCTTCTTAGTGCCAGTTGCTTAGAATATTTTTTTCCCATTCTTTCACCATAAGGTAGTGCCTGTCCTTGAAAGTTAGACAACAAAAAGATGGATTTTGTTTCTTAATCCATTCAACTAGTCTATGTCTTTTGACCGAGAAGTTCAGTCTATTGATATTTAAAGTTATTAATGAAAGATGTGTATTGATTCCTGTCTTTGTGTTACCCCTTGGGTATACAGTCATTCCTTTCTTCAGCTCTTTGTATTGCTTCCAGAACTCTCTGAAGGGCTTGATTTGTGAGCATGAATTCTTTCAGCCTATTTATGTCATGTAAGATTTTTTTCTTTCCCCTTTGACTATAATAGACATTTTGGCTTGGTAAAGTAATCTGGGTTGGCATTTAGAACTGGGAATACTTTGGTCCAGGCTTTTCTGGCTTTCACAGTTTGCACTGAAAGTCAGCTGTAATTATGATGGGTTTTTACTATGATGTG